TTGTGAATGTCATGGCTCCAGGGTCAGGGGTTATAGTGCTAGGGCGGGGCTATATAGATTATATAGTAAAAAATGAATTATTTCTTGAAAATTTTCGTCTTTGCTCCTGAGTATTAAATAAACTAACCAAGTACATAATTATGTTGAATAAAGCTACCTCTTCCTAAATTGTGAATTTCATGGCCCCCGGGTTGGGGGTTCTAGTGTTTGGGCAGGGCTTTATTGAATATATAGTGAAAATGCATAAATTCTTTAAAACTCTTCTTTTCTGCACCTGAGCATTTAACCAATGAACTATGTACATAGTTATGAGGAGGAAGGATGCCTCTTTGAGATTTTTGAATTTCAGGGTCCCTGGGTTAGAGATTCTTGTGTGTGTGTGTGTGTGGGGGGGGGGGGGCTCTGATGTTTATATAGTGAAAATGCCTGAATTCTTTGAAAATATTTTCCTTTGTTATTTGGTATAATGCCAATGATCTATGTATATATATATATGAAAAAAAAATCTGCTTCTTCCAAAAATGGTTAATTTCCTGTCCCCTGGGACAGAGGTACTTTACTTGGGGGGGGGGGGAGGTTACAAAGTCTGAAATAATTTAATGCTTTAAAGATTGCACTCTGGTCAGTGGTTCGTGTGGTATGGGGACCTCAACTAAGGACCCGCCCTAACAGAAGAAGCCCTGACCCAGGGGCCGTGAAATTTCAGTAAAAGTGGAAATGCATTTTCCCTTTGTTACTCTGATCTACCTCTGGGTTTTAAGTAACCAAAATAAGCATGCTGAGTGTATAATTCTGATAAGCAATGGTGCCTCTTTCAAAATTGTTAATTTTATGGCCTCTATTTTAAAACGAATCAAATTCAATTGTTGAAAAGTTGTCGCATGATACTCAGGTGACCAATAAGGCCCATGGGCCGCTTGTTTATTTTGAAAGTACTAGTGCGTTAATTTAGACCAAATTATCAACACTTTGAAAACACGTGTATGCCTTGGTCAACATTAAGTAAATATTATTTGATAAATAATTGAACCTGCTTGTATATTTTTTCTGTGATTAAGTGAATTCATGATATGAGAAATAGACGATTTATTTTTTTTTCGGTAATCATAAACGTTATAAAAGAAAAATGGGTCTTTTTTTATTATTTGAATTTAGTGCATTGATTTTTTTTTTCTAAATTCTAACGCACTTAGGGTTTTTTTTTCAAAGTGCGTTATGATTTCAAAGTACGTTGCCATATGCACCGATGAATTGATTCAATTGATTAATTAAAGTTTCCCAAAAGTATGATAGTTAAAATAAATTCGTCACAAGCAGTCGATTTTAAGATGTATGAAAACATTTCTTTGTGATTTTTAATTTTGCAATGATCGACGAAGACTAACTTGTATACGCCTATTTAATTTCTTAAAAAGTAAACTAATAATCAAGTATTTTAGAATCTTTAACGCTTATTGTAGTCTGCAGGCTCTGAAAATCAGGAGTTGAATCATAAACGGACCTCCGAAACTTCAGAAGTGGGATCAGGTGCCAGGGAAGAGTGAGCATACCTGCATGCCTCCCGATCAGTCAAACCCGCCGTGAGATCCTTGTCATGATATAGCAAAATAACGAAAAAAAATCAGTCGTCAATGCAGTATATATAATGGACAAACAAATAGTATGAAAAACGTCTGTCTGCATTTGATTCAATGATTAATTGTATTTAAATTATATCGTATCAACATAACACTTTTTTTTAAATATTTTTTTTTTAAGAATACTGGGGGTGGGGAGGGAGCACAAGTATCAAGTATCAAATTTTATAGGACCGTTTCTCACAGCTTTAAGAACTTTTGATCACGCATAGAGGCATAAAATGGAAAAAAAAATGAATAAAAATAATTTGATTTCAAGCTTTCATTTTTAGACCTCTTCAATTAAATTATAAAGAATGAATCTTTAACATTCCGTTTTCTCGCCCCTTTTTAAATACAGAAATTTATCTTTTCAAATCAGAATTTTGTAATGATAAAACAAAAATCTTCGTGAAGAATTTGTATTGATACTCTTCAAAGAGTTTTGGTAGAGAAACTTGCAATATAAATTTTATATCGATTAAATAAAATTGTATACTTCATTGTGAAATCAAGACTTCGCCATCACAGCTATGTAGGTCATTGTATTACTTGAATGAGAAGGCGGAGCGTCTATCAAGCGTGCAAATAGCATGAATACGTTAGCGTGTGTTCGAGATGTATACCTTGTTTTTTAATTAAGTGACACCAAAAAGACCTTTTTTGTGTTAGAGACCGACAAAATATAAACATATTTTTTTAATTTAGCAAGCGTTGTTTTTCCTGCTTAACAAGTCAGATGAAAAATGATAAACTAAAAATTCATGAAATTATTAAATAATTGACAAATTAAATTTTATAATCCAAAAATACCTTATATGCATATTGTCATTACTATAATTCATTATATGCACATTCGACAGAATCAAAATACACTATTTTAAATATTTTATAGGAACCATATTCTTAAAAAAGATCATTTAAGCTTATTACATTTTCATGTAAAATTAGAATTTATTTCTTAGCCAATACATATTTATATTTTTGCAGAATCCGGGAGCAAAAATAAATACACGTTAGCAGTGGAATAATGATACAATTATAACTCTGTTTGTTGATTATGATACAAAACTACACTCTGTTTGTAAAACAAATCTTTACGAAAGTGAGAATCAAAATGTCAATTAAACGTCAGTTTAAGGTCAGTATCGATAAAGATGGATAAAGAAATATCAATATCGGTATATTTTGAACAGTACAAATTGCATTGCTTCTAAATATCTTGTTTATTCATGCCATAAAGGTTAGTATGATCTACCTTATTTAGGATTTTCTTAATAGTTGAAATCCACTCGTACACTGTTTGATTTCAGCCAACTTTTTTTTACGATAATATTACATAAATATTTATAATTATTTATATGTTGACCGGACATGTGATTGGGTCTTGAGTGCACTCTCCTGCTTTAAAACAGTATGCTTTTAAAAAACCTGCATACCCGGACTTATTTTACATGATCTGCAAAAAAATTATGATATGATTCCAAGCCGATATAAAGAGTCTTCAAGTGAAACATTGCCGTAGTATTGGGGAATGGAGGGGGTTAATAATTTTGCCAATATATAGAATACTGAAGAAAACATAGCTATATATGCTTGTGCGCCTTCAATAAAAACGTCTGATTACCCTTTTATTATACCCTCCATTGCAAATCTAGCTCCCCCCCCTTCTTCACCCTACTAATATTACTTCCTTCGGGGATGTGGAAGACTGCATTTCTACACTTTTATCAAACAGTTTATCAAACAGATATAATAAATTGTTTTGTTTTTTTTCCCAAATTACGATCTATAATTATAAACGACAATTTTCATTGAAAAAGATCGTTAATGATAATATAATAATATCTCCAATATAAATTGATAATTAAATTCCAAGAAAAGAAGTCGAACTGAAATAGCATTAAATAACAATTGTTAATAAATCAAAAATCTTAATTAACGCACATATAGATATATCAATTATGTAATTAAGTTCCCTATATATCTCTATCATTAAATTTGAAAATAATTTTGACTATCAATAGTTAGCGGACACTAAGAAAATAATAAATGAGCGCACGATTGTTTCAATTTCTTTCATGAATGTATATGATAAGTATAACTCCTTACATTGACCATAGTTACGACAACTTGAAACATCCATGTGCTCATATAAAAATTCGACCAACAAGATGGGGGTGTGGCCTTAATTATAAGTCTATGAGAAATCGATGTAAACAATATACACCTGCTAATAATAATCAGATAAATATCTAATAACACTGGATGGGAGTAAAAATTAAAGTTGAAATTATTATAAACTACAATATGTGGTGGAAAGATTAAGATAAAAATATGTAGAAAATCTGAAATTTATTTCCTTTTTTGTAGCGATTCACTATTTTTAGAGTTATCCTTCCTTCATGAGGATTGGATATCCCTACGAACAATGACCACAAGAATCGCCAGCATCGACAGCACAGCAACAGTATTTATCAGTATTTACAGTCCCTGAAAAGTTCTACTTTCCCGTTCACTGTGCATTCACTATTCGCTCTCCGTTCACATTTTTTGCCTCCACCTTCACCTTTCGCTCGTGTTCACCATTTATTAAGCGTTCAGCGTTCGTTCTCCAATGTTCTCTGTTTGTTTACTTTGTGTTCCAATTGCGTTCAGCGTTCACTTATCATTCACAATAATTCCAAGTCTCGACAGCGCAGCAGCAATATTGATCAGTGATTATATATATATATATATATATATATATATATATATATATATATATATATATATATATATATATATATATATATATATATATATATATATATATTTCCATTTCTAATTTTTTTTCTCTGTGATAACTCTTTGAAAGTTGTCGGAGTTTATTTCTTGAAAATTCTGCCGGAATGTAAATTAGGCAGGTCGATAGGTCAGGAGCTAAGGAGGCCTAATACGCATGCAAATCTCGTGCGCATTTGTCTCTGTGTCCGACGCTAAGGAGGCCAAATATGCATGTAAATCTCGTGCGGCTGCCTTTGTGTTTGACGTCAGTGGGCGAGGACTATCGAAATTAGCATGGATGTCCTCGTGTGATTTAAGTCTATGTCTACATTTTCAAAGTCTAAATCTACAATTTAATTTCACAATAAATGGAAATATAAGGAATCACTGTCTAGTTTTGAGAGTATGCCAGGGACATCAACAATAGTGGGATACATGGGATAATTTTAGCATAACGGGCTTCGCCCTTTATGCAAATTATCCCATGTTTCCCACTATTGTTGTTGCCCTGGCATACTCTCAAAACTAGACAGTGATTCCTTAAATATATATATATATATATATATATATATATATATATATATATATATATATATATATATATATATATATATATACAGCATATTACATGTCACGGATACTATTTTTTAAAGAAAAATCGATTTAAAACTTCTTTGTATAATATTTATGTCTTATATGCCTTTTTACGCTTACGTGCATACGTCTGTACTAAGCTTTAGACTCTCATGTTTGTACAAAAAAACATTAATTTTACTCTAGCACCCATGGGACATATTTTCATTTTCACTTGAATCACTAGGATAGTCTGGCTCAGGCTCTAGTATCCAATCATCATTGTAACACATAGAGGAATTTAAAACATTAATTGCATGATTCTGATTGCTTATATTTACACGAATATTTCCGGATGAAGAATGTTTTGGGATTCCTGGCATGAAATGGCTATTTCTGCTGTGTTGATTTTTAGCAGCATCATGAGCAAAAACTCTTGAGGTTGATAAAGGCATATTGGGAAATAATTGATTTATAGAGTATACATTTAACCCATTGTCATCGTGGACATCAGCTGTCACAAGTTGAGTCGGAGGCACGTCAGTGACAAATATCCCTCTTTCATCTGTCACGTTTTGTCTGGAAGGGGGCACGGCTTCTCCGTTAAAGCTTGAAGATGAACCCATAGACATGAAATTGGCCACTTCTTCGACAGGAATTGCTTCTCGTACCGCTGAACTTCTTTGAGAATGGATATCCACTTCTTCAACCGGAATTGCTTCTCGTACCGCTGAACTTCTTTGAGAAATAATATCTACTTCTTCAACCGGAATTGCTTCTCGAACCGCTGAACTTCTTTGAGAAAGGATACTGGCTTGGACTTGATGTCCTTGAGATAGAAAAATACCCATTTTAATTGCTGTTAATAAGAAACATTTGGTGCAAATATGCATAAAATTCACTTTAAAAAACTTTTTTCAAATAGTACAGTATTTATGTACCTCTCCTCTCGCTTCTTTTAACCTTATGTATTTTATTATCTAGAGGACATTTTAATTCTTCGTATTGGAATGTCTTTGCTAACTGAATGAGGCACGTGTTGCACACGATATGACCACAGGGCATTATAATTGGTTGATTTTGATGATCATTGTAATTTTCAAGACAAATAAAACACCTATTCTCGTCTCCTAAAAAGACGTCCTTCATCATATCGTTCGATTCGTTTACAAATGAAAGCAGAGAGGGCGTCTTTGTAGCTAGATTTTCTAAATTTGCTTCCCATAAAGTTTCTAGGTTAATATCAGTGGGATGGCCATGTCGACAACACTTTGATCCCATAAATCTGAAAAAAAGATTGAAAATTTAATATTATTTTTCTTGAATATTAAAGATTACATTACAATTTTTAATTATTTTGTTCATGATGGATTTTTTAATGCAAAAGACACACTTAACAAAAATGCTTTGAAAATAAATTTTACCTTGAAATGGGTCGGTAAGGGTCTATTACGAAAAATAATTATGTTAAAATAACATAGAATTATGACCAACTATATACATGTATTTGTTCTAATATATTAAGATAAATATCAAAAGATCTCATATACCAATTAATAAAAATTAATAGTACATACCCCAAGATATGTTATGATTTTAAAATCTAATAAATAATATTTCCAAGAAATTCTCGCATATTTTCTATTCTAAAAGCATTTTTTTCTCAATTTGAAAATTCAGCCTTGGAATATTTAAAATAATGCACATGTGTATTTTATAGACATTCTTTTAGTTTCAAACAAACAGTACTTTTATCGCCAACTAGTAGTAGAAACACTGATACATGTACATTGTCAAGCAACTTCACGCATGTTAATTCTTAAAATTCCAATTCACTTTACTATTAATTTGCTAAAAATCTAAACAGAATATAACCACTAACATAACATCGATGAAAAAAAACATGAAACATGAAACTCTTCGAACAGTACGACATATAACTCTGGACACGACATAGTCCAGCCTTTTTACTACCATTTCTAATTATGATATCCAAAATATTTTTATATCACTTGGTGGGATTTCTTAGCAGTATCCCAGGGTCTTATGTTGAGCTCTAAAACATCTCAATTTCTGAAGATATGGAGTCCTTAAACTCAAAATCCCATGGGAGAAAGGGGGATTTTCTATCCCACCAACTATCCCACCATTCTCCTATGGGAGAAAAAATGTCAGACGGGATATTTTCTCCCTCTGGGATTTTTCCCCCACAAATTTGTTTAAATGGGATGAATCCCATGGATATTACAATCAAACGATTTCTCCCAAACATTGCAAAACATGAAATATATCCCATACAGTATGACAATGACAAATTTCTCATCATAATATATAGAAAATATACCAACTGCTGTTACCAACGCTGTTTGGATTTTTTACTGTGCTATTTAAATCAAGACAGTCGATCATTATGCCTATAGCCAGGACTTTGCTTTCAGCAAAGCCCGGCTAAAAAGGGAGTACGACACTCTTTGGGAGGTAAGTTTGCGTTTGGGGTATTGTGGATGCTTTTTAAATGGTCTGACACGATAAATCGTTTCTATATACCATACTAAACAATATATATCATACTTCGTTCTGCTTCAATGCATTTTGATTGAAGAATGATAATTATAATAGTATGGGAATTAACGTTGCGGCTATTATTTAAGGTTGAAACAGAACATTCTATGTCGTGCATGAAAATCAGTATCTCGTACGTGCGTCAAATTTTCTCATTAGCTGACTTATCATCATGTATGAAAAACTTTCAAGATTGTACGACTTAATATCTCTTTTGTATGACTTAGAATCTAAAATGTATCGTGTATGCTTAAATATTTCAAAATATATTTAACTGACAAAAATACGCTTCCGTAAAGTACAAAATTACAGCCCAAATCAAAATAACAATAATAATGTTTGTCTTAAAGTATAACGTTAGTATTGATTAACGTACTTATCTTGAATCTGTCTTAGTTTTCGTTCTATTACGACGTAAATCTAAAGCCGTCGATTCTACACATCCTGTTTGATACTTGCATTATGCATGGGCATCGAAGCAAGGAAACTCTAACATTGTAGTGCAGAAGCAAAAAACATTATAAACTTTGATCGATTTAAAGGTGTGTTGAACGAAACTAAATAGGGAGGAATAAGTTATAAAGATAAAATATTATTTTTTCTCTAGTACGTATGTAAATTCTATTTTTAAAAAATGATACCAGTGTAAAGGTTTATAAATAAATAAATAGAAATTAAGAGGTGGCCAAATCAGATTTTATAATACCATCTAGAAGTGATAAAGCATTCATTTGTTCATCATTTCTATGCAAAAGTCAACATTTTTTTTTTTACAAATTTTAAGCCAATTCTTATGGCTTTAATTCCGTTGATGTATTCTTGGATTTAGCTGCAGATCTGTAGCTATCCGAAAAAATATATATTGATAGACCGGATATCCGGTCTATCAATATATATTTTTTTCGGATAGCTACAGATCTGCAGCTATCTTGGATTTAAATAAAATTGTATTTTTTTAACCACCATGTTTTTATACGTATAAACTATTATTAAAATTATAATATCTATGATTTATCGAAAAATATTTAATTGGCAGTAATATGCTTCAGTCAGTGAAATGAAAATAGCAATCAATATCATTTTATTATGTTTGAAAGATCAGAGTATTGATTAACGTATTTACCTTGTAACAGTCGTCGTTCTTTTAGGGCGTAAATCTCTTTTAAACAGGAAGTTTTATTCCAACTGTTTGTACACTTCTCGTGTGGTATTTGCAATATGCATGGGCACCGAAGCAAGGTAACCCAATCTTTGTAGCATAAAAGCACAACAATATTGTAAACTGACACATGTAGCAATTTAAATGTTTTAAACTGCCTAAATAACGACTGAAATTTGAAAGAAAAAATACCCTGAAACATATGGAGATAACGAACAGAATTCTAGATCAAATGTCCATAAAACAATACAAAATAGAAGCAGAGTAAACATGGAGCTCCAAAACATCAATTATCTGAGAATAACTATCATCTCAAATAATACATTCATGAGCGACAGTACACGTACATGAATACAATGTATTTTTATTTTAATATTTTGTAGTGGGTGACTTTAAAGAGCATCCCACAGTGATAGGACACAAAAGATAACTTTTTTCTGAAAAATAGTTTTCACTTATCTTTTTCCATTTTTAACACCGAAAATGATTCCTTATTATAACACTTGGTTTGATAATGACTGGAAATGTTTTGATAGGATTTTCTTTATCTTTTTATATTCACTTTAATTTGTAATATATTAAGATTTTTATACCATCTACTAACTTACTAGTTCAGAGAGGTGTAAGTTTAAGATTCTTAAAATGATGCCAGCGTTTTGTACGAAATCTGAACTCATTTTTCCACTGCCGAGAAAGACTTGGCAGTATTTGCGATCATTTTTTTTTTTAAATTATGGTGGCATATTTATGCCATCGGCATAATGTTTGTTAACATAAGATATGTCAAGTCAAGATAACTATCGTATCAAGTCATGATAACTTTCTGGTTTGTCGTCAAACACCGGCTTTTATCTTGTACAATCAAGATAAGCTATCGTATTTTTGCGATAGCTATCTCGACAAAAACGAGATCTTGTATCTTGTATCGGGATTGAAAGTTATCTCGCCATGTCAAGATAGCTATTGCAAAAAACCGTGATAGCTTATCTTGACTTGTCAAGATATAAAGTCGGTGTTTGACGACAAACCAGAAAGTTATCATGACTTGACGAGATAGTTATCTTGACTTGACATGATATGCTATGTTGACAAAAAATTATGTTGATGGCATAAATATGCCACCATAAAAAATGCATTAGATTCTCTTTGTTTTTCGTTTGTTTGTATGCTATTTAACGTCCCTCTCGAGAATTAATTTTTCACTCATATGGAGACGCTACTACTTGCCGGTGGAGAACTGCAAATGTTGTCCTATACTCGGCACTTAGGGCCATTGAGCAGAGAGGGATCTTTTTCGTGCCAGCACCTACTGCGACACGGGACCTCGGTTTATACAGTCTAGCTCACCCGAAGGAATGGTGACTCTAGACCTAGACCAGGTTTTCTCTCTCTCTCTCTCTCTCTCTCTCTCTCTCTCTCTCTCTCTCTCTCTCTCTCTCTCTCTCTCTCTCTCTCTCTCGGAATATATTGATACTCCAGGAATTAATAACAAAGAGATGTGGCACTTTTTCAACGTTGAGTTATGCTTTTACTTTAGCTAAAATATCTTTCAAATTCAGAATCTCTTTGTCATGCCAAAATGTGGAAGCATTTTTTAGAAGTCTAACTCTAAGATGGTACCACTGCTCTAGAGTCGCGAAGTAGTCAGTCAATCCTTACGTCGGGTTTCGAATCCCACTGCGGGACGTGGAGACCGGTACTTCGGATGAGACCGTATAAACCTAGGTCCCGTGTCGCAGTAGGTGCTGGTACGAAAAAGATCCCTCCCTGCTCAATGGCCCTGAGTGCCGAGTAAAGGACAAAATTTGCAGCTCTCCACCGGCAAAATGGTGGCGTCTCCTTATGAGTGAAAAATTCTCGAGAGGGACGTTAAACAATATACAATCAATCAATCTAAGATGGTACCATAGAGAGATTTTCTTGCATGACAAATGACTAGCTAACCTATGGAAGACCCAATAATCTATATCCATATATTTTTTATTTGAAAATATTTCTCCAATAAAGCAGCACTCAAATTAAGACGTGTATCTTTGAGGGTAGTTGATAATTGACTGTTACAATGCTCTGCGCGTATATTGCGCGGGCATCATACCGCGTGGGGCGCTGTGATAAATGGATTTATATCGTATTCACTGCATATATTCGATTATCACAGACTCCACATAAAAACAACAGTGAATTTAATGTTTCCTAATTATTTATTTCTTAAGTTTGGCATTTAATGGCCACGGCTGGTTCAAATCAATTTATGAAAAAATACACGTGAACAGTGGGTGCCGACCCAATTGGTTTTTGGCACACCTCCAATAAAAGCAAACAAACAAATAATCCATCCATCAATCAATCAATCAATCAATATTAACTGTACACATGTCAAAGTTTTACAGGATAAGACTGACGTTTAGCTTCAAAGTTCCTGCAGTTGCGTCAGCCTTATGCATCAATCAATATTCATCAATCAATGTTCAATACGATCAATTAATGTTCAATTCAATCAATGAATGTTCAATTCGATCAATAATATTCAATTAGATCAATCAATGTTCAAACA